AAACGCATATTTAAGTGACAACAATTAACGAAACAAAATCGAAAAGCAATACTTAACTTAACAATAGCAAATGGGTGTTTCCGATTCAACCAAGCCTATATATCATGGCCGTGACAACGAAGATATTGAAGAATTTCTTGAGGATTATGAAGCGTACGGTGCATCAAAGGACTGGGACGAAGACAAGATGAGACAAGTGATAAGGCTCCATGTTTCTGACGACCTAAAGCCCTGGATACGTGAACAAATAAAGGCCAAGAGTACGTGGGTCGATCTGAAAGCCGCTATTGTCTCTGGTGCTAAAGCCTCCTGTGATGTTGAAGAAAAGTTGGAGCGGTTAAAGAATATAAAGCAAAAATCAAACGACACTATCAAGGCATACACAAACAAGTTCGATGCATGTGCAGAAGTTGTGAAGAACAATGTAAGAGGTTTAGAAAAAAGACAATGGTATGTTCAGGGGTTAAGGGAACCTTTCAGAGAAAGAGTTGAAATGCAATGCCCCGAAACGTATGATGATGCGAAAAAATGGGCTTTAAAGGTGGAAAAATATAGTAAGGACAATGAATATGTAGTAAGGAACCCCACCCGATCCATAAACGAAGAATCAAACATAACCAAATCAGACGTGGATGACCTTGCTTCAGCTTTTGGTGCTTTAAAGATTTGCCGTGTTGACCAAAATCAAGATCAAGACGACCGAATAGGTAAAATGGAATCAAGCATCAAGGAATTAACGAAGGCCATCTTGGATCTTAAAGAAAATAGGGAACCTCCCTTATACCGTAACCAGAGAACTCAAAATCAGCGGCCCGGTAACCAAAATCAAACTATCCGATCTCGTAGATGTTACCAATGTGATCAGGAAGGTCATCTTTCAAGAGATTGTCCTACCAGAGCACAACAAACCCTACCTGATAATCAAAGGAATGTGACGAGAAATAACCAACCTGATGGTCCCGAGGTTAGAGGTATGAATATACGTTACCTTGAGGTTACAGAATCGATAAAGGATGAAGGTGATGACTATCTAAGGATTAAGTTGGAAGAAGGGGAATCATTATTTGATGTAAGGAACCTAGGTAAAAGGAGGCGTGTGGAGGATGAACACGAGATGCCTTCATGGGCTCAAAAGAGCACCTATAATGAAATACCCGAAGAAATTGACCAGCACAAAAAGGGATCGATAATGTATATCCCGATCTCTGAGCTAACGGCCGAATTGGACATTTTGAAAACTATAGCGTCGCTCGAGCTTCCAATAACCTTAGGCCAACTATTCAAATGGTCTCCCAAAGCTAGATCCGAGGTGCTTAAGGCATTAACTAGGAGAAAGAAAGAAAGCGACGTATTGCTAGTAAACGCTGAGGTCAGAATTGTAAAGGGAGCACAAGCCGGTATAAACCTAAAACTAGGAAATGTTCCTGTCAGTATGGTCAGAATAAATGGTGAAATAACCGAAGCTCCAATTGATCCTGGTTCAAGGTTGAACCTCATGCACGAGTCTTTTGCCAGACAGAAAGGGCTATCCTGGAAACCTGTGACGAGCAAAGGCCGAATGGCCGATGATCGCTTAAGCGAATTTGTTGGATATATTCCAAACATGAAAGTAGTAATTGAAGGAATTGAGGTTATTCAGGGATTCTATGTAATGAAAGCCGCAAGCTTTGAAGTACTTCTGGGAATGCCTTGGTTAGCCGCAGCTAGGTGTAACCTAAAATGGAAAAATAATAAACTGTGGTGCACAATTGGGTCTGACTATAAAAAAGCTTCGTTCATTGCATCGGTGGTGCCCAAAGATTGGATCAACTTATCAGGATATGACGACGATGACAATGAAGAAGATGTGGACGATATAATGGCTGTGCGAAGGATTGAAATCCAAGAACATGAAGCTGGTAACGAGGATAGGCGACAAAATGAAAGGTTGAAGGATATTGTAAAGCAAGCAAGTAATTCAAGCAAACTCATCATAAAAGAGATTGAAGCCATGGATTCACGTGATCTAATTAAGAATAGCCATTTTGGACAAATAATTTATTGGTCACGTGAGAATGAACAAGCCGACGGTACAATAAGAGGATTGGACATGGAACCTGGAGTTGTGATGCGTTTAACGAAAGAAAATTGCAATGAACTGAACATTGGAGACACCATTTCGATGGAAACAAGAAAATGGATTGAGGAAGAATTGATGAACAAAACCCCAAATGTATTCGCGTTTGATATGTCGGAAATAGGAAAGACCAACCTGATCCAGTATGAAGTTAGAACCGGTGGAAAAGAGGTCCCACCAATGCGTGTACGTCCAATACGGATAAACAATCCAGAACACGCTTATATGTTCGAATGTCAACTGAAGGATATGATAAGATATGGACTTTTAGAAAAGGGTATGGGCCAATACGCCTATCACTGTTTTCCTGTCAAGAAAAAGGAAAGTGGTACCGACAAGCTACGAGTGGTTGGTGATATGCGGCCACTTAATAAACATATAATTAAGGATGGGTATCCCCTGCCAATAATACGTGACATCTTGGAAAAGGCCGTAGGCCATGACTGGTACTCCAGTGTGGATGCTTACAAGGGCTATTGGCAGATACAAATTCGTGATGAGGATAAGGACAAAGTAGCTGTTGCTACCCCTCTAGGCGTACTACGTTATACTGTCATGTGCATGGGTCTTAAAAACGCTAGCGAAACATTCCAACGTTTAATGGATAAACTGCTTGAAGGAGATGAATGGAGACATATTGCTGCGGCATATCAGGACGATATAGGACTTTGGACCCAGGGGACGATTGAAGAGCATGTTGACAAATTTGTCAAACTCGCGCAGACATTTAGTAATGCCGGTCTTACCTTCGCTGCAAAAAAATGCCACCTACTTTATAAAGAGCTAAATATGTATGGCTTTATTGTTGGAAAAGAGGGCATAAAGCCTGATCCAACTCGTATAAAGAAAATTAATGAATGGAAAGCCCCTGAAAATGTCCGAGATGTTCGTGTGTTTCTGGGTACTATGAATTATTATCGCCGATTTGTGAAGAATTTTAGTGCAATTGCAAAGCCGCTGACTGAGTTAACAAAAAAGGACGTTAAATTTAAGTGGACAGGTGAAGAAGTCGAAGCGTTCCAACTGCTTAAGCACAAAATGATCCACGACGTAATGCTAAAAGGACCAAACTGGCAGGACGCCAAGAATGGAAGTAAACCCTATCAAATGAGTACCGATGCCTGTGATACGGCATTGGGTGTTGTCTTAGAGCAAGTAGATGATCAGAACAAGTTGCGCCCTGTAACATTTGAGTCTCGAAAATTGAACTCCCATGAGGTGAATTATACTGTAACCGAAAGAGAGTGCTTGGGTGTAGTTTTTGGCTGCAACATGTGTGAGAGATACGTGGCTGGAACGATGTTCGACGTATGGGTTGATCATCAAGCCCTGGAATGGCTTTTTAATAAGGCTTTGTTGAAAGGACGTTTGATGCGTTGGGTAATAGCTCTACAAACCTTCGATTTTAAGGTACACTATAAGCCCGGTAAAAAGCATGGCCATGCTGACGGATTGTCTCGATACCCTGAACCTGTGGCGCCTGGGAACAGACCGCTAGATGAAATATATGTGGATTCCTTGTTGTTGCGAGTTGATAATGAAACTGATCGAAGTATAAAGGATTTGGGGTTAGTCAAATACTATTTGGAAAATATGCGCTGGCCACTTGGTGTGTTAAAAGAAGACCTTCCCCGACTTCAAAGTAAAATCCGCAAGTTCTGCCTAATAAATGGACAATTATTTAGGAGGTCAGGTGCTGGAAAACCACCACGTAGAGTACTATTGAACGATGATGAAAAGGTTGAGATAATGAAGGCGAATCACGAAGGACTTGCCGGAGAAGGTGGACACCGTGGAATAAAAGGAACGGTTAGAAAAATCTTGCTGAATTACGTGTGGGGCAATGGTAACATATACAGCGATGTGAAGAACTATGTATCATCTTGTTTAGTATGTCAAATGTGTGCTAGTAAACAACTTAAGGAACCCATCCACGTGATCGCCACTAGTTGGATATTTCACAAACTTTATGTTGATTGCATTGGTCCCTTGCCAAGAACTTCCGCAGGTCATGAGCACATAGTGGTCGCCGTTGAAGATTTAACTGGGTATATAGAAGCACGTGCTCTGAGAAGTAAAAATGCCAAGTCAATTGCTACATTTTTATGGGAAGAGATAATTACCAGACATGGCTGTTTCGCCGAATTAACTTCAGATAGAGGTACTGAGTTTAAAAACAATATAATGGAAGAACTAACGGCTCGATTACAGGTGAAACAACAGTTTACTGCTAGTTACCACCCCGAAGCAAACGGCAGGGCCGAACGCACCGTGCAAAAACTTACCAGAATTATTAGGAAGGTTAGTGCGGAAGCCCAAAACCGATGGCATGAGCATCTACGTGCTGCAATTTGGGCTCTTAATGTTACAGTAAGCGAATTGGGCTACTCACCTTTTAGGTTAATATATGGCCGAGATGCGATAATGCCGGTTGAATTGACACTTGAAAGTTACCAAGTTTTCATGGCCAAACAAGGTTGGAACACCGATGAACTGTTGGCTTTTAGAACGCTACAAATAAAAGGGTTAGTTACTGAACTAAAAGAAGCAAAAGCAAACCGTGATGAGCTTCATGAACGATGGAAGAAATTTCACGATCGACATGCAAATGAGAATAAGGAAAAGATTGAAATTGGAGATCTAGTACTTGTATACGATTCAACGTTGGACAACACTCCCCGTAAATTAGATTATAGATGGGTTGGTCCGTATGTGGTAAGAAGAGTAGGCCAAAATGGCCACCTGTATCTGAATGAAATGGATGGTAGTGAGCTGAAGGATCCTTTTACGAGGAATCGGGTTAAAAGGTTAAAGCAAAGAGAGGCATGGATAGACGAAAGCCATAGTGAAGGGTGTGTAGACTTCGAGGACGAAGATCTTGGGGGATCTAGCTCCTGTCGTGCTGTGGACCAGTACCCTGTATACTATGTTCGTGGAATGTTGGACGTTATAGGCTTGGACTTTGATCGTGAACTGTGTTCACGATATCACGTGACCACGTGATCGGGTAATTCGATATGATGGGCAGGGTAATAAGTGTAAATCGGGTAAATCAGAATGGTAGTACATAAGTAGTTTATTATAGTATGATCCTATTTTGCATAATGTGGGCGTCATTGATGTAAAGTTTATTATAGCTTGTGCGCAATCTTGCATTGACAAGGTAGTCATTAATTTGTAGTTTAACAAGAGTCAAATTCTGTATAAATAGAGTAGGGGCTTAATAAGCCAAAAGGACAGTTCTCTCTCTCGTAATAAAGATACATACGAATCTTACAATAAAGCACTGGCCGCCTGTTTCGTGATTGTGTGTGTGTGTCGTTAACGTCGTTGTAGTTGCAGTGCCACTGATTGAGCTGGATTGTTAAGTGGAACGTCCCCATTTATTAACCCGCACGACAGTAAGCTTGTCTAATATTTTGAATTGATGGTTTGTCGAGTGTGAGAATGTGAAAGTATGTGATTACACGAGCAAGAGTATCAGTATTAATAGGTTTAGAGATAATTTTGTCAATTGCTTGCTGTTTATATAAGTTGATTATTTGATCATTTGTAGCAGCAGATTCAAGACAGGCATTGAAGTAGCTATAAAAATAATAGCTAAGTCATGCCTGGTTTGTATCCTCTTCGCTGAGTTCATTAAGTTGAAGGAATTTTTGCTCAGTTGTATTTGCTAACTTTCGTA